GAATTGATGTCTGAGGACTCTGAAGGGAGTCATCATGTTCTTGTTCCTTAGACCTGTCCATGGCTGTGCTTGCCACACACTGTGTCTTGATAGATACTTCCTGAATGAATGAATCAATTGATGATGGCCAGAGGTTCTGGCCTTGGCTGTGGGAAGCACTTGAGTTTATGCTGTCTTTCAAAAGTTCTGTTATAAGGAGCTGTTTAGACAAGTTCTATGGTAGGTTTTTACTTTGGGGAGGAAAGAGATTTTCTTTCAGTTTTTATTCATTACTTATTGCAACAGCTCTTTTGCAATGACTGATTTCAACATTTCTCTCTGGGCTTCTAAACCACCCTGGTCCTGAGCAAGCCCGAGCAAGTTTCCAAAAACAGGGTTCTTCCGTCAGTCCTACCTTCCAATCTACCATGAGGAAGTTCTGCATATCAATACCTCTGTGGAGAAGAGAATGGAAGGAAGTGAAAGCAAGCCCAGTGGGCACAGGTGATGCATTTTCAGAACACCGCTTCTCCCAAAACACACTCCGCAGATCATAAAAGCTCATGCTTAGACATGGTCTCTGATGCCTGATTTGTAGTGGATTGTACATGAACCCCATCTTGTGCTTCCCCAAAAATATTTCCACTTTTTTTAAGGCAAAGAAATATAATTTTTAAGGCAGACATTCAAGCACATTTAAGCTTCCTTTTCAATGATTAGTTGAATAACAAAATAGACAGTGGGAAAAAATCAGAATGGATGAAATGATGAAGTTTGAGTCACAGACCAGTTTCTCCTGTTTTTAAGATTGAAAGCCATCAGCTTTCTTGTTGTTAGTTTCCTTCTTTTATGGTTGCTGAGTTCTATTAGAATTAGAATTATAAATACTTGATATGAATTTCTCTCTTTGATCTGTCTTACTTGTCAATCAACAGTCTTTTAAACTCTGTATTCTTTCTCATTCTTGACATTTGCCATTGTTCTCTGCCCTGAATGCCTCGCCTGCTGTTCTCAAAAGCTGCCCAGAATCACTGAGAGTATATTGCAGTATCAAGTACCATGGCTTCAGGCTCTGCCGCAGCTGCCCACTTTCTAAAAGCTCCCTTTATTCTTTGCAATTGAACTTATCCAATTCAGACTGACAAATATCAGTTCTTTCCCCCTTACTTTTCATGAAAAAAAAAAAACACACAAAAACAAAACACAACCTTGAAAGTGTAATAAATCCCTCCTTCTGGGTAGTATACACTAATACACCTTGTAAATTGCCTTTCCCTGTTGGTTTTAGTCCTTTGCCCTTTTATTCTTTTCTTTTGAACTCTGGCTTCCTTAGCATTACTATTCCCAGCCTTGAAATCCAAGTTGCAAATGCAGAAAACCTGCCCACCCATTTAGGACAAAATGAATCGCCCACATTAAAGAGGCGATAGCACCACATCTGGTAGTACTGCTCACTAAAAGCACCCATCACTTGGTTCATGAGAAAGCAGCAGGTCTTAGATTCAAGACTAATGATCTATGGACTAGAGAGCACACTGTGAGACTTGGTGGAAGTACACTACATTGGTATTACAGTATATGTTATACACACACATACATATACAGTATACATATGTAGTGTACTTTCCTACTAGCCACTGTTCTTAACTACATGGAGAAATCTAGAGTCATTCAGCTACTGGGGCAGTCTCACTGGTATATGATTTTGTGCTGCTTCTCTGTTCACTTGCCAATTTTAAGTAAGAATAGCCATGGGTGTTATTCTGTATGTTGGCAAATTGAGCACCAATAAAAAATAAATTTATTATTAAAAAATAATAAAAATTAAAATTAAAAAAAAGAATAGCCATGGTATTAGGAGTACCCATATTTTACTGTGTACAATTAATATTTGAAGAGAGTGGCCTTGGGAGATCATTTAAAGTAAATGTAAAGATTACTCAGTCTCTACTGAGTGGAATATATGAAGTGTAAGAGCTCTTCACTTCATATAGGCCATTAGACAAGAAGCAAACCTTTCCTTACAAGGCAACTGTGAAGTTACTCTTAAGTCATTTTGTTGTTTTATACAACAATTCAAAAGACTATTAAATTCTTACAGAGCCTTGGGCACTAGGGCCCCTTTGCTAATGGGAATGGAGCTTTTCTCCAACCTCAGGGATTCTAGGAGCTCTTAGACAAGACCTTAGAGACAGGATTGCAATAAGGAATTTGGAAGGGTCCTTTCCGTGGCAGGCAGTATTCAATGACTCTGTGCCTGAATTCTTTCCTAGTCAGAGAGGTCCATGGACCAGAAGCATCAGTATCATTGGCATCACCTGAGAGCTGGTTACATATGTAGCATCTCAGGTCTCAACCATCTACTGCACCAGAATTTATATTTTCACAAGATCTCCAGATGATTCATGCACAAGAGTTTCAGGGGCCTGATCTAACTCTCATTCTCCTCAAGAATCAACTAGTGCTCAAAGAAATAAGTTGCCTAATGTCACTGAGTGAATTTGTACTTGGGAGAAGAGGGCCACACTACATGAGTCACAATGTCCATTCTGGACAATCATCTTTCTCTCAGGTGTCTGGAGTTGGCCAGTGTCCCACCTGAACTGGCCCCCTCTCTCCAGGTCAGGTAGCTTTAGACCTAACCTTCTCCAACAGCAGAGGTGTTCTATGTCTCCACTGTTCAATGGGCACTCATGACCACTGAGCCCTGGAATGGGGTTAGTATTACTAGCTGGAAGAGGGCAAGTAGGGAAGAGAGAGGCCTTCAACACTAGGGGATACTGACCACTAAGGTTTAACATGAAACAGGAGCTTCAGGGCTTTTGTTTGGATAGCTGGCATAGTGGCAGTTTTGCAGCTCCTGTTCTGATATAGTTAGTTGCATCTGTCGCAGTTTCCAGGGAAGACAGCATTAGAAAAAAAGCTCTGGTTGTCATTTATAAACTGTGGAAAAAAGCAAAGGTCCTTTAGGGTCACCAGGGAAGCTAACACTTCTTTTGAAAAGATATAAATAAGCCAATAATCTGCTATTCCTTAGGCAAATGGCATGTCTCTGCTATGTTTGTTCTGAGGGTTTTCTAGAAAGATGAACAGTCTACTACTATGACTCTCCTGACCACCAGCAAGTGAAACTTTAAACTGCCTAACTTGAAAATATATGTTGCAAAATGTTTCAGAAAGAATCATATCGGCCTATCTAGCTACCATTTAGTGGCCAAAATTTCCCCAATTCCGCATTATTACCTGTTTCCATGGATTCTGCAATATTTTGTAGCTCTTCACATCAAGAAGTGAAGTCTACTTCCTCACCTGTAAATGTGCACTAACCTTATGGTTTATGTTGGTCAGAAAAATGCCATGGAAGTGACAATGTGTCAGTTCTGAGCCAAGAGTCAAGAAGTCTTACCCGCTCCCATTGTCTTTCTTGGGAACTTCCACTGCCATGTGAATAAGCCTAGACTAAGGAAGATCAGAGACCCCAGCCCACCGGAGAGAAGCCCTGGACCATTCTACCCGTCCTAGCTGTGGGCAACACAGACCAGTCACCACCAGCTATATACACCAGCACACTTCAGAAATGTGAGTGAGAACCGGTGCAATGAACCAAGCCCAGGCCATGTCAGCCAAGTGACCCAGGCCACTTACAGACTTGTAGAAAAAAAATAAACAGTTGTTGTTTTAAGCACCAAGTTTGGGGGAGATTTATCACAACAGTGTCGTGACAACAGATCATTGCTATACCAACGTTATCATGTTTAAGATTTTTTAATGTTACTTACCATTTCTGAAGAGAGAAATAGCTTTTGAGGCCATGATCACATTAAGTTCCTTGGAATGGGTATGTTAGAGGAGGAAAGGATGTTAGCACTAGTCCTGAGCTACAGACAGTCTTACAGTTGGGGAACCGGAGGCCTAGCCGAAGGAAATAAATAACTTTGCATCAGACAGCCAGAGAGGAGCAACACAGGACACAGGCCTCTGGTCTTCAAGTGCTCAGTCTGTTCTTTCATGAATGTGCTCTGAGTTTTGCTTGTCTGCCAACCAGCAAGATGCTGAGAACACAGCTTTTTAAAAAGGAGATTACATTTACAGAGACCAGTGCTTCTGAATTTATGTTTTTTTTAATTTATTTTTATTTTTAAAGGCTCACTCTTTTGTTAAAAGGAATCCCAATTTTGTCACTTACCTTTTATGAAATGATTAGTGGATAGGCTTTTAGTTCACTCATAGGGCTGCTTATTCAATCATTATTATAACTATTTATAATTTGTCAAAAATTTCACATGCTATAATAAAAAAAAAGCCTTCTTGAATGCGGCATGTTTTCTACTCACTGAGTGAACTTCTTCACAAGAGTGTTATTACTTCCCTAGCATATTAGTGACTAAGTTTGCTTGCTTACTTCTTTTTAAGGTCCAGTGATCATTCTTTCCATCTCTGAGTTCGTAACATATTTTCATGTTAATTATCTGATTTGAATTTCCTATATATATATTTTTTTAAGTAGACTCCACTCTTGGCATAAAGCTCAATGCAGGGCTTGAATTCACAACCATGAAATCAAGACCTGAGCTTAGGTAGGACACTGAACCCATTGAGCCACTCAGGCACTCCCCTATTAACCCATTTTTTATCCCCAGGAAGAAAACTGGGGCTTATAGCAGTTTTATGATTTTTACCAGGTCATGTGGACCACAGGGAAAAGGATTAGGTCATGCTTTGAGATTTTTGTTCAACAGTCTGATTTCAATGATGTCACCTTGCCAGTTTATATATCTGCATCCGTTGGATATTTTTTTTAAGGTTTTATTTATTTATTCATGAGAGACATACAGAGAGAGGCAGAGACACAGGCAGAGGGAGAAGCAGGCTCCATGCAGGGAGCCCGATGTGGGACTCGATCCTGGGTCTCCAGGATCACGCCCTGGGCTGAAGGCGGCATTAAACCGCTGAGCCACCTGGGTTGCTACATCTGTTGAATTTGTCTAGGGGCCAATCATGCCCAATTTCTCCTTTCTTACCAAAATGCCCTGGTCCAAAACTACTTCCAAAGGAAACAGCTCCGGGTTCCTCTTGACAGACGTGTCTTCTGTAAGGGGTGATCTTCCACAATGGGCCAGAATTTAAACTGGGAGGTATGAAAAGACAAAGTTCTGTCAATCTGAAGACCGTGAAAGGTAAAACTCGAAGAGACATAATAGCCAGCCTCTGGTTCTACTCTGTTTTGGGGTGTGGGAGTGTCTTTCTGTTTTTAAATCTAATCCATTTGTGCCCTTAAATTATTTTCCCTACAGAACTTAAATCCGACTCATACAATCACCTTTACTTTGAATGACATTTCAAATTTTTCAATGTCTTCAACAAGTAAAAGTAGTCTATCAAGTGAACTGCAATCAACTACTATTATCACCATTTCACAAGAGAGAAAATTACAGCCTTGAAGGAAGGTTAAGTGACTGGTTTAAGGTCATACAGCAAGGTTACAAAATTTAAACTCAGTTCTTCTGCTTTCCAGTCCTAGGATCTTTAGGGTTTTCTCAAAATTGAAATTGGACATCTTTAGTAATATATACACAGCATGTCTTTTTAAATACCTTTTATTGAAAAATGTGCAACGATCTCCTCTAGGACTATGTCAGAGTTTACTGAAACCTCAGAGAGCTGCTCAAAAAATCCTAACTGCCAACAGTCTGTTGACATGACAAGGCAGGATACATAACGCTTCACGTTGTCTATATCACATTGGTCTTCTTGCCTTCCTGAAGGCTATCCAACAACACTCAACACTTTAGTCAAGAATGACAATTCCATTGCTCAAGTTTTACAAAATTCTTATTCTCCAAAGAGAGCATAAAACCTTCATGCAAATACAGAGTTGAGACTGTTCTAATAGCATGGGAAGTCTGAACTAAGGATGCAGATTGGCTGTATTTCATATTTATAAAACCCTCCATGAGATGCTGAATGGACTGGCATATGGCTAAATACTAGGCACCACTGAGCATTTTTGATGAAGTGAAAGAAGAGAAGATATGGCTTTGAGACCTTGATGGAGGCTCTCACCTACTACAGACATTCGCTGCCTTCTTGGCATCAAAGCTGCTCCTAGTCAGTGACTGAACATGGTATGAATATTAAGATAGGCCACTTTTGGGGAAAATGAGGCTCCTGTGATAACCTTACTGACCCCCCTTCCTAGACTGCAAAGTGGTCTTGGATGCTTCCTCCCAATCTTCCTTTCTCCCTTTTCTTCTCCATATAAGGAAGACCTGCATCATGGTCAGACAGCTCTCCAGCCTTCCCTGGCTCACTCCTCATTTTCTCTCAAGCATTTCCTTTAATATCTTTACATAGTTAATCGCATCTTGATATCCAAGTATGGGAGGACTTGGACAAGGAAGCAAAGGGGTTTTAGATGCTTAAGTCAGCAGCTGCTATATATGTGTTTGTAAATAACATTGAAACCAAAAATGAATTTTAAAATTGCTAGACCCTCTGATAATTGTTCCAGTACCAGATCTTGGTCAGATACCAGCTTTCCCCATATTTATTCCTAAAAAATCTAAGATGAGCCTAGGCATGGTGGCTGGCCTGGACTGATGGGACAGCCCTTTGCAGTACAAATAGTGGGCAAGATAAACAGTGATGTATTCCACTGAAATATCGTGACCAGAAGGTTTTATCATCATCATCATCATCATCATCATCATCATCATCACCATCGAAGTCTCTTTCTATACCTAGGGACTCAAGGAAATCAGAACTACGGGAGGCAGTCATTTTTAAACCCAGGGCACTGAATAAAAATTGGGGAAAGAATGCCTCACCAACACCCAAAGAACAAAACCACTTCCTCCCTTCTGCTGGCTTCTGATCTGAGTTGAACAGAAAGGAAGCAGGAAATCCAGGACTTTTTTTTCTTTTCTTCACTGTTGCCAATATGGTAATTGTTCTAATTGTCTTCCAGCAAGAACACTGTCTGTAACACACTTCAGTCCTGTACATCCCAGATCTTGGTTAAGCAACCCTGTAAATGGCAGAACATTAAAGCCTGAAGCTTTTATTCTTTTTTCTTTGTTTCAATATAATGCAAAGACAGCACTATTTGGACTTTTCTATTTTTCCAATAATTTATTTGTATTTTGTCTGATTCTACAACCTATCTAATCACTTCCCCAGAGGGCAGACTGGGCCTCAGGTATGCTCTAGGCCTAAGAATTGTTTCCCAAACTTTAGTGAGCATACTAACATTCTGAAAATCTTGTTAAAATACAAATTTTAAGTGTAGCTTGTTGGTTAAGGCCTGGGATCTTATATTCTAACAAAGAAAAATGAATAAATTGATGCTATTGGTCTAAGACCCTAAAGCCATGCAAACTTTAACATGCCTCAGAATCCCCTGGAAAGATTGTTAAAACACAGATCCCTGGGCCCCATCCCAGAAATCTTGATGTAGTAAGGTCTGGTGGGGCACTTGTGATTCTCTATTTGTACTAAATTCCCATATGATGTCAGTGCTGTTGGTCCCTGAAACGTACTTTTGAGCAGTGAGGGTTTAGAGAGCATATCTAATGGAAAGTCTCATTAAAAAAAAAAAAAAAAAACGGACTTTTTTTTTTTTGCTACTTTATTTGCATGGGTTAATGAGTTTGGAAAACTGCTGAGAATTTTTACTAGGGGCAGATTCATTCTGCTTTCAACTTAACCTTACAATATTAGGGTAAATGCACAAAACTAAAAGCTGCATATGTCCTGGACATGAACGAAAACTACAGAAGAGGGTAGACAGCAAAGGTTTTAAATCAGGGGATACTGACTCACTGTAACCTCTCTATGATCCCCACTTTGAACCTTTTTCATCATAAATAAGACTCCCTACCTTTTCCATCATAAATAAGACTCCCTCAGCAATACCTAAGTTCCATAACCTGTACTTTACCTCCTCTTTAGGACTGCCTCCAAGGCTGCCAAAACATGAACATGGGGCTCAAAAACACTGACAGCTGCCTGGCACTAGGCCCATGAAAATTCTGAGAATGGTCTAGATCCATTTTGTAAGGGACTTCATATTAAATACTGGACAACTCTCCATTCTCTGCATAATACAAATTCTATATCCTCCATATGTCCTATGTGCTAGGGGCTGGGATTAGTCCTTTACATGCAGTCTCATATAAATGTTATACCAACCCAATTAGCAGATGAGAAAGCAGAGATGATAAGCCACTGGATCACAGACCTATTTGTCCAAAACCTGTGCTCCAGATCCTTGCTACTGAAAGCATGGCCCATGGCCCAGAAGCATCTGCATCACTTAAAAGCTACTAAAATATGCTGCATCTGAAGCTCCACTGCTGACCTATTTGACAAGAGTCTTAATTTTAACAAAATGCCAGGTGATTCCTGTGCCTCTTAGTGCAAGGTTTGGGCCCTCTCTGCCATACGCTGCCTCTCTAACAAGGAAGGATTTTTTTGCAGAGTCATTTTCTTTATTGGAAATGCTTCAGCACAGACCTGGTGAGACATCAAAGGCAGTCATTTTCATCACTGGCAAAGGGATGGTTTGATTGCTCTGGGAGTAGGACTACTTGGCAGCACATCAGAGTTCAGGGGAGCTACATGTGCTGACACAGGCAGTCCTGGCTTTTCTGGGCTGCACTTGGGAGCTGATGTGCAACCATCGCCAGAAGTCAATTAGATTATACAGCAGGGCCTTCTCTCCTTGCAGCCTGTTTTTATTGAAGGATTGCTCCAAAAAATCTTCAGAAGGGTCTTCAAACTAGTAGTTAAACTAAGGAAGAGAAGGAGCATCTATCACTTGGCTTGTAGGGAACACAACCAATTCAAAACTAGTTTCTTTCCCAGGAAGATGAGATGATATGGGGCAGAAAAAATTCAGTATCAGACTGAAGCAGGGGCCTATGTTTGGAGAAATGTGTAACACAGGACACTTTGTCAACCTGTCAGTATTTAGGGATCAAAACAGCAGCCATGTTTAAGTTCACAAATGTGCAGCTGACCAGTGGTCTGCTCACCTGGCCCAGGCTTAGTTGATTCTCAAGGAAATTTCTCATGAGTCTTCTTCCAGGCCACCAGGATGGTTTCAGCTGGGCAACTCTGATCTGGTCCATGTGTCCCTCATCCTCCCGCAGGTTAGCCTTGGTGGTTCAGTGGAATTCCAAGAAAATGAATGAAAGACTCAAAACATCTTGAGACCTAAGCCAACCTGGCATCCTGTTAGTTCTGTTGCATTGTACTGATCAAACTGAAAGGCCAGTCTATATTTAAAGGCTGGGGGAACACACTCTACCTCTTGATTGGAGGAGCAGCAAGGGCACCTTGCCAAAAGGGCATGGATATAGGGTGGAGATTGGGGTTATTCTGTAATCTGTCACACTCTTACTAACTGGTTCTTATCTGTTCTTTTTTGAAACAATTATCAGTACATTTGTTCTCACCTAAAGAGTCCATTTTGTTGTTCATGGGCTTACTTCTTTTCCTGGCTAGATATATCTGGGATCCACAGGATGCATTTAGGGCCTCTGGTTGGCTACCTCCAAAATGCAAGCCATCAATTACAATGGAGACGGGTGGAAGAAGAAAGTCAAAAAAGTACTGAATTTTGATATGAATTAAAATCTCAATGAGATACCAATACACTGCTAAAATGTGATGAATGAAAAAGGCAATTACTTGGGATGTCTGGGTGGCTCAGCTGTTGAGCATCTGCCTTTGGCTCAGGGTGTGATCCCGGAGTCCTGGATCGAGTCCTACATCGGGCTCCCTGCATGGAGCCTGCTTCTCCCTCTGCCTGTGTCTCTGCCTCACTCTGTGTGTCTCTCATGAATAAATAAATAAAATCTTAAAATTAAAAAAAAGACAATTACAAATGTTGGCAAAGATGGAGAATAATTGATGAAAAGGCATAATGGTACAATGACTTTGGGTAACTGACATTTTTCAGTAAAGCTGATGATACACATATTCCATGACCCAGTGATTCCAGTCCTAGATACAAACATAAATGTTAAATAAGTTCACCAAGAATATTCACAGCGGGAGTATTTGTAGTACCACCAAAGAGGAAATATCTCTCATGTCCCAGTCAGCATAAAATGGGTAAACATATCATTGTCTGTTCTTATGATGGAATACTACACAGCAGTGAGAATCAATGGTTTACAACTATTTATAATGATAAAGTAAATTCCACAAACCTAAGATTGGGCAAAAGAAGTCAAAAGAGGACTTGCTATGTGATTCCACTTATTTGTAAGTTCAAAATCAGGCAAAAGTAATCTCTGGCACTGGAAGTAAATACAGTGATTATCTATGTATGGGGGGGAATCGGAAGGAACACAAGGGGCTTTTGGGGTACTGGTAATGCTCAGTTTCTTGATCTGGGAGCTGCTTACACAAAAAGTGTTTATGAAGATTTCAGCTCTTTACAGGTAGGACTAGCATATTTTTTTGTGTATTATGCTTCAGTAAAAGGGTTTTAAGAAAAAGAGATAGAACTCTAAAATCTGAGTTCAAACCCAGTTCTACTGTTTGGATTTGAACAACATTCTTTATTTTTCTGAGTCCCAATTTCTTCATGTGTACAATGGTGATAATTCAATATTATCATGATCTTTATGGGGATTAAATTTTAAGATTTGTATAAAGCTCTCTGTGGCCCAATAAGTGTTAGATCCTCTTCCCACCTGCTGTGAAAAGATAAATTTTACTGTCCCAGATAAACAAAGCACAATTTTTCCATTACATTACTGTACAAAATCACATTCTCAATTTTGCTTCCACAAAAACCAAATCAAAAAGAGAGCGAGCAAGCGAGAGGGAGCATGAGCTTCTGAATTCTCCCTATTTCATTTTTAATGAGTGTGAATATTCCCAGTTCTAGGTGTTATACCTTAAATGGGTTAAAACTTCATATGTCAACCCCCCCCCAAAAAAAACTTCATATGTCATTGTACTACCATTCAAGGTGCTTGTTTTTCCCTTTTGGTTTTGTAGATTGTTTTTGCTGTTACAACATATCTAAATTCTAAAGGATTATTAACACATTTGGAATAATGAGTTTCTAAAGGGATCTGATATCATTAAAACGATTAATGAATAAATAGTATAAAACCTTACTCTGTCCAGTCTAAGGACTTGAGCCATTCAGCTTTCAGCTTCAAAATGATCCTGAGGCATAAACGGTGAATCATGCAAGAACAGCCTGTTCTGGCTTCTGACTGTTCATTCCAGAAGAGAGGGATAGTGCCTGTGGGTGGCGTGAGGCGGTAGGAAATCCTGACTCCGACTTGCTCTGTTCTTGTTCTCAAGTCCTTTGAGGCTACCTCATTAGAAGTGGGAGAGAGACTACAAAGATACTGTGAAAGGTGATTGTTCCCCAAAGCTACCCTCCAGAGGGATACTCCCATGTGTGTGTACATGCACACACAAAACCTATGTTTAAAATCCTATGTTGCTACGACCAGTTAGACAGCCAGTATTAAGACCTTCATGAAACCATGGGTTTGACAGGGATACTCCAATGAGATCAATAAGATGGGGAACTTGACTTCATTTATTTTACACTTCTACTTAGACGTCAACCCTGATTTTTCTTATCTTGATGTGAAAGGAGAATCAAGAGTCATTTAGGGGGACGCCTGGGTGGCTCAGTGGTTGAGCATCTGCCTTTGGCTCAGGGCATGATGCCAGGGTCCTGGGATCAAGTCTCACATCAGGCTCCCCACAGGGATCTTGCTTCTCCCTCTGCCTATGTTTCTGCCTCTGTGTGTCTTTCAAAGTAAATAAATAAAATCTTAAAAAAAAAGTCATTTAGGGAAGGGAGAGAATAGAGAATAATAATAACTATAAGCTGAATGTGCTATATTAAGTCTGTATTCTTCACAGCAGCCCATAAAGTAAGCAGTTCTCAAAACCATAATTTTATAGGCCAGGAAACTGTGCCTTGGAGAGGTAGACTGATTAGAACTTTTCTTATATATTTTCTTCAAGTCCATTGAAAAGTATTATCATAACTAGATGTTTAATGTGTATAATGGGACTGGGGCAAGAACCACAGAAGCAAGCTAGGAAAGAAACAGATGTATAGATAAAAGATCCATGGTTTGGTAAATCAGGAAATATGATAGAGCAATGTAGGCTGAGGTAATATGAGGTTTGAGGTTTGAGTTGTGGGATTCTATTGACAGACAAAAGGAAATTGGAAAAGAACTAGTTGGGAAGACTGAGGATTTGGAGAAAATACATGGATATCAGGTGACAGAAGCACATCTAACTTGTACTGTCCAACTGGTGAGCTGACAGGTGTGACTAGAGCCTGGCAGTCCCTGCATAACCATGCTCATTCACCAGGTACTGAAATAGAAACACTGATGTTGTCTCTATTGGAGAGAGAATAGAAAAAGAGAGAGTAAATGCTGGGGATTGAATCTGGGAAAATGCACTTGTTTAGGGGTGTGGGTGGAATGGGAACCTCTACAAGTAGGACTTGAGAACTTAAATGGTATCACATTGTTTTACTAAGAAGCTCAAAGAATTAAATCTCAATGCTGCCAATGGTCATGAATAAGGATGGAGAATTATGGATTAGTAGGGCATTTGGTAATTTTAGAGTATGCTGCTGCTTGAGGCTGTGGAGTAGGGTTCTGCACAAGATGGACTTCAGATTCTTATATAGTACATTTTGTGAGTCAATGGAGGGTAGGCTGTAGGTTACACATAACTTCAGACATTAAAGGAAAAACTATTAAGGCAGAAAACATGAGGCACGTTTTACCCCTAGTTTGATTGATACGTGTGTCTTTCTTCCTTGCTTTCCTTTCTTTTTAAGAATAGGGGAAATATGTGCTATAGACAGAAAGTAAGAGTAAAGACTGAATGTGCTTTTGCAGAAGCAGGGCATGTGCTAAGGCCAGAGATTGACAAGATCTAAACCAGTTCTTCTTAAATTTGAGTGTATGTAAAGAATCTCTGGGAAACACATTAAAATATAGACTCCCAGGCCCTCATTCCTGGGGATTCTGATGCAGTTGGTCTAGGGCTGGCTCAAGATCTGCACTTCTAATAAGCAACACAGTTTGGGCAGACTTCTGGTCTCCCTCTCTCTGCAGCTTTCAGCTCAGAGACACACTGGGGCTCAGTGTTCCCTGGGCTTTCTAGAACTATTGTGTTGTAATTTTCCAGCCTGGTTTCTAATACTCTTCCTTTCTTTCTGTGTCCTTTCCTTACCAAACCATGAATTATCCAGGAGCTGGCTATGTGACCACTTTCTCTGCCCAGCATGCATGAGTAAATAATTTATATCAGTATTTCTAGACACTGATTCACTGCATTCTCCTTGCCCATATATTATCCTTCTTGCTATCTCTTCCTGAAAAGTTTTCCCTAATTATCTATGCTTCCTACCTTGCCTGAATACTGTCCTTTATTTCCCTTCCAGATATGTGTCTTCTATACAGTCTTCCTTGACCAATGTGGTGCCTCACAATTTCTTCCCCCTGCAGACCAACAAAGGATTGGATACTCATCCATTCGTAACATCCCAATCCAAGACGTGCTTTCCTTGACTGAATCTGGATTTGAACGAACAAGTCCCCAAAATATTATGAGAACAACTAGAGAAATGGACTGGTATATGAGATAGTGCTAAGAAATTATTACTTTTATTGAGTATATGCAGAAAAATGTACTTATTTTAGAGATGCATACTGAGTTTGGGGGATGGGTGGGAAACATCATATCTGTAAATTTCTCTTACTATAGAAAAAAAGATGACAAAATATTAAAAAGTATTAAATCAAGGTGATGAGTGCTTAAGTTCTCACTATATTATCCTCTTTACTTTTCTGTATACTTAAAATGTTTCAAAATTAAATAGCAAATTAGAAGAGCAATAGTCTACTAAACATGGATATGATGATCTAGTCCTATTTTTAAATACTCATTAAAATAATTATGTATTAAAGTCACTATTTATTGTTGGTTATAAGACTATTGGTTAATGTGATTCTGAACTTGTTAACTAGCCTAGACTTAATAGTTAGTCTCTGCTCTCTCTCTCTCTCTCTCTCTCTCTCTCTCTCGGAGGTACTGCATACCTTTGATTATAATCTGGAGGGGGGATCCCTGGGTGGCGCAGCGGTTTGGCGCCTGCCTTTGGCCCAGGGCGCGATCCTGGAGACCCGGGATCGAATCCCACATCGGGCTCCCGGTGCATGGAGCCTGCTTCTCCCTCTGCCTGTGTCTCTGCCTCTCTCTCTTTCTCTCTCTGTGACTATCAT